TTCTATTCCTGGCACCTTCCTTGTATGTAACCGGTAACTGTTGAATTGAATTGCAACAGTCAGAGGGCTGGGGGTTCCCCTAACCGGTGAGGCTAAGTGTACTTCTGACAGCAGTAGATCCAGAGAGCTTCTTTCCAAGGAGAAGTAGTGATCCTCAGCCTGTCCCACGGTTGCAGGGCACCAAAGGCAAGTGATATGAATAAGGATTTCCACAGTATATGCCAAATACAGGGTTGGGGAAAGGGTTGTGGACAGACTTTTGCCAAGTTAAGGAGTATTGACATGACCCGACAGAATCTGGATTATTTGCAGAGAGAAAGCCAAAGGAAATGGGTTTGGGGTACTGTTGCTGGAAAGGAGCATCTTCCAGTGAAAGATGGAAGTGCCCTGTCGATAAAACTGTTCTTCAGCTAAGAAGTGTTGGGCCTACTCCGGTTTATCTCCCTGATTGGCCAACTCGTTATTCCTCTGCCCTTCCTCCTTTACCCCCTTTGTTTAAAAAGAAAAAAATGAAAGCAGTACATGCACTTAGTGAAACATTCTAACAGGTTGAAAATGAAAAGTAGAGATCCCTTCACATACTTCTTACCCTTAATCCCTCTTCTCAAGGGTGTCTGCTATTAACTCTTGCTTGTGTAACCCTACATTGAAAAAAATCATGCTTATACAGATGGAATCATATGGTACATTTTGTTTTGCTTCTTGTCTTTTTCTCTGAATATACCTTGATGACCTATCCATAACAAACACACACAACTCTGGCTCATTAAAAACGTGGCTGCATAGTATTCCCCTGTGTGATTGCACCTCATTTATTTAACTTGTCCCCTGTTGGACATTCTTTATACTTTTGTGCTCATATAAAAGCCTGGTGAATGGACATCTCTGAACTTGTAATTTGATATTTTTTGGCAACACATCCAAAAGGGTAAATTTTTATATTGATATTTCTGGGACAAAAGAAGTGTGCATTTTAAGTTTTAATAAATATTGCAAAATTCCTCTCTAGAATGGTGTTCCAAGTTACATCTGCATCACCAGTGGATATTAGCACATGACAGTTGAAAAATGTGATGTTACCAGTCTGATAGGTTTTCTTTCAGTTCTGAGGAAGGGAGTAAACTGTGGTATTGAAATGTTGTATTTTCCTATATCTTGATTTTCCCTTCATATTTTTTCTTTTTCTTTAAAGTTGATTTATTTATTTTGAGAGACAGAGAGAGAGAGAGAGAGAGAGAGAGAGCATGAGCAGGGAAGGAGCAGAGAGAGAGAGGGAGAGAGAATTCCAATCAGGCCCTGAGCTGTGGCAGAGCCTGAGGCGGGGCTCGATCTCATGAACCCATGAGATCATGACCTGATGACCTGAGCTGAGATCAAGAGTTGGACCCTTAACGAGCTGAGCCACCCAGGCACCCCATTTATATTTTTTTTAAGGTTTTTTTTTTTTTTTAATTTATTTTGAGAGAGAGAGAAAGAGAGTGTGCACCAATGCGTGTGAGTCAGGAAGGGACAGAGAGAGGGAGACAGAGGATCCAAAGCAGGCTCTGCACTGTCAGCGTAGAGCCCGATTCAGGGCTCAAACTCATGAACCTTGTGAGATCAAGACCTGAGCCACCCAGGTGCCCCTCCCTTCGTATTTTGATTGCCAAAGGCAGCAGCAGGAACTGCTGGGAAGGCTTGGTTGGAAAAGTCAGAAGAGATGGGAATGACAGTGAAGCCTTAGTCCTGTGACAACTTTCAGGGTTGATTTATTTGGGAATTGTAGAATTTTGCAGATATCTAACGGTTTTCTTCCTTTCTGAAGCAAATGTTAATTTTAACTACTTTGGATGAAAAAATTCCAGAAATTATGATATAACTTCCTTGACTTTAAAACGAATATAAACAGATAAGAATCTTCTTGAGGACTTAAGCCCATCACTTATAGCCCTGGGCTATAATTTAGTGCTGTCCTAAGGCCATTTTGAATATGTAGGAGCATTTAATGTTGCTTAGCTAAATGGCCTCAGGCTGATGTTTTGAAAAAATTCCTGGGTCTATTTTTTTAAGAAACATTTTTTACCTTTTCCTGGCTGTCAACTCTCACTTTTGTCAGTTTACCGTCTTATAGAGGATCCTCTCTACTTTTCTCCCTAATTGGTTGTCTAGTTTCTAAACTGAAACAAGTGAAATGCATCACTTGTTATAAATATGTATAAAGTAAGTGTGAACTGCCAGTTAATAAGGTTCTTGTGGGTCTTTAATGAGTATAGTCCGTGTAGTTAGTACACAGACTATGGGGAATCAATTTTGCCAATGGAAGAGCCCTTTTTGTGGGGAGAAAGTGCCTGGTTTTTGGCTGGTTAGGGTATTGTGGCATTGCATTTGTAGAAAGGAAGAGCACTAAGGAGTTGTGAGTTGTGGTTGGCAGCTCTAACCAGGCCTTTTGTGATTCCAGTAGAGGGATGATGGACTTGGTTCTAGAAACTTCCCTGTGCCCAGTGGGTCAATACGGAAAAGGGGTAGTCAATGGATTGTTACGGAAACCGAAGTTCTGCTGCTTGTCGCTCTAAAGGCCAATACTCAAGAGATGAGTTTTGATTGAAAAAGAATGTGAGTTTTGTTCAGAAGCCCAGGGACCTGGGGAGAAGGCGGACTCTTGTCCAAAAGCCAACACCGAGGTTTCTGCCTGACCCAGGGATTTTTAAAGCGATTTAATCAGTTAACGGAGTACCATGGTCTTTGACATTTCTTGATTGTGTGAGGACTTGATGATGCCAGCTACAGAATTATCTCAGTGCTCAGAGGTTGTGCAAGAACGTCTGGTTCCTGGTTACCCGGGGGTTGTGCAAGAGCACTCTGATCTTTCTGCAAAGGAGGGCAAGGTTTGCAGATGTGTAAAGGGAGGTCAGCAAAGTCATTTGCGTGACCTTAAAAAAGAAAAACATTTTGCTCAATGTTTCTGGGCTAATCAGAAAGCTGAGGTGGCTTCAAACAGACTTGCTGGCCTTTGTGGCCTAGGAAAGTTCTGGTCCTTCATTCCCCAAGGCCAGTGGTCCGCAAGTCTTAAAAGAAAGTAAATTAGTTCTGTTACAGATGAAGGGCCTTAAGTCAGCAAGCAAGGAGTGTGTTAACTTGAAGTAGGTTGACCCTTAAGACCAGGCTGGAGTGCTGTTGGAGGTTGGCTCTGTGGTTTGTGTGATGGGAAAAGATGGAAGAGAGAGAGCTCGGGGAAGGTCAGCATCTGTCTTTCGCAGTAGCAGAAGGATGGTAAACTTGATTTATACCTGCTCTACTTAGCAGTTAAGAAAGGAGTATTCCTTTCTACTTACCGAACCTACTTTGTCCAAAGCACTTTGCCAGGTGCTATGGGGGATAGCAAATGAAGTAAGATGTGGCTTGTACCTTCCAAGGCTTTTAGTCCCCTGACCAATGAGGGTCAGGACCTAAAGTTTGGAGGAGTGGACCAAGGATAGTGGAGTCAATCCGTTAAGAGTCTCTCAATTGCAAGAGTAGAAAACCCAGCTGAGACCAGCTAAGGCAAAAAGGGACTTAACTGGCCTCTGGCACAGCGTGAGTTGGGGCCCGGATGGTGTCCCCGGGGCACCTGTTGTTCCTGTCTGAACTGAGCTGTCATCTTTGTTGGGCGGTTCTCTTGGTGGTGAGGCAGCATCTTAAAAAAAATTTTTTTTAATGTTCTTATTTATTTTTGAGACAGAGAGAGACAGAGCATGAGCAGGGGAGGGGCAGAGAGAGAGGGAGACACAGACTCAGGAAGCAGGCTTCAGGCTCCGAGCTGTCAGCACAGAGCCCGACGCGGGGCTCGAACTCACAAACTGCGAGATCATGACCTGAGCTGAAGTCGGACGCTCAACCGACTGAGCCACCCAGGCACCCCTGTGAGGCAGCATCTTTGACACCCACATGCCCACCGAGTAGAGAGTGCTCTTCTTTGGGTGCCCCAGTAAACATTTCATTGCTTTTCATTGCTCTGACCAAGCCACATGGCCATCTCTCAGCTAATCACTGTGGTCAGAAGGTGGGACACGTTGATTGTGGTGGCCTCTATTATATCTAGAGCCTGAGGACGGGGCCAGCTTGATGCAAAACACGTTGGCCAATGGAGTACCTGGGTGCCTCAGTCAGTTAAGCATCTGACGTTGGCTCAGATCATGATCCCACCGCTCATGAGTTTGAGCCCCACATCAGGCTCTGTGCTGATGGCTCAGAGCCTAGAGCCTGCTTTGGATTCTGTGTCTCCCTCTCTCTGTGCCCCTCTTCCAATCGCACGCGCGCTCTCTCTCTCAAAAATAAATAAAGATTAAAAAATTAAAAAAAATTCAAAACACATTGGCGAAGAATGGGGGAAGGGTGGTTCTATCAAAGCCAGAAAAACTACCAAAACCATAAGAATGATGAATGTGTGCTGGCTGGCCCACCAAATGCTTCCATAAAGTAGTAATAGGTGTGTGCCCAGACTGGTAAGTATGGTCTCTGAGTTCCGTATCAGGACTGAACTATAAGTCTTAGATTTGGGTGTTATCTATATTTTGAGTCTTTAAAAATTTTTTTAAATGTTTATTTTATTTTGGGGAGGAGGGGCAGGGAGAGATGGGGGACACAGAATTTGAAACAGGCTCCAGGCTCTAAACTGTCAGTATAGAGCCCGATGTGGGGCTCAAACCCACAACATGGGGCTCAAACCCACAAACCACAAGATCATGACCTGGGCCGAAGTCGGGCGCTTAACCAACTGAGCCACCCAGGCGCCCCAGTGTCTGACTCTTAATATTGGCTCAGGTCCTGATCTCATGATTCATGAGATCGAGCCCCCCTCTGTGCTGTTAGCACAGTTGGGATTCTCTCTCTCCCTCTCTTTCTGCCCCTCCCCATTCATGCTTTCTCACTCTCTCAAAAATAAACTTTAAAACAAAAGGAAAAAGTAATTGGTGAATTAACTTCAAAAAAACAATCTTGGCAGAGATTCAGGCTACTCCAGAGCAGCACAAGCTGGTGGAGACATGGAGATGCAGTCCTATCATGCCAAGCTCTTGGGGGAGTTGAATGAACAGCGAAAGAGGGACTTTTTCTGTGACTGCAGCATCATCGTGGAAGGGCGGATCTTCAAGGCCCACAGGAACATTTTGTTTGCCAACAGCGGCTACTTCCGAGCCCTGCTCATTCACTACATCCAGGACAGCGGGCGGCACAGCACCGCCTCCCTGGACATAGTCACCTCCGATGCCTTCTCCACCATCTTAGACTTCCTGTACTCTGGGAAGCTGGATTTGTGCGGGGACAACGTGATTGAAGTCATGTCGGCGGCCAGCTACCTGCAGATGAACGACGTGGTGAACTTCTGCAAGGCCTACATCAGGTCGTCCCTTGATATCTGCCGGAAGATGGAGAAGGAGGCTGCCGTGGCTGCAGCGGTGGCGGCGGCGGCCGCGGCAGCGGTGGCGGCTCATCAGGTGGACGGCGGGAGCCCCAGTTCAGGCAGGGAAGGGACCGCCTGTGACACCAAGAGCGTGGTCCCCTCTCCGGCCGAGGGAGAGGAGAGGGTGGACTGTCCAAGAGAGCCCCCTCGCAGTGACTGCAGAGGCTGCCACCCCCTGGAACTGGCGGCGAAGGACGGCCAGGGCAGTGGCCCAGCTGACAGTGACCTCTCTATTCTGCCCAAACAGATAGAGCCCAAGGTGGAGTTTGATGCCGACGAGGTGGAGGTGGAGTTGGGCGAACAGCTGCAGCCGTATGCCACCCCACTCAGCCTGGCCCACATGGACGAGGGTTTGCCCGGTGGCCAGGCCATCGACTTGGCTTACAGTAACTACCACGTGAAGCAGTTCCTGGAGGCACTCCTGCGCAATGGTGCCGTCCAGGGCAAAGGTGACGTGGACCATCACTTCTCTGGAAGTTTGGAGGGAAGACCAGAGGGTGCGGGAGGAGCCATGAGTGCCGTGATGGATGTCCAGACTGACTGGTATGGAGAGGACTCAGGTGAGCTCCATTCGCCTTCAGCATCTCTGCCGGTCACTTAGCACGCACACCTGTGCCTTACTGGCTCCCATCACCATGATCGTCAGCATTGCCATTGTCACTGCTGTCATCACCACCATCTCCACCACCGTCATCACCACCACATTATCACCACCACCACCAGTAGGTGTTAGTTGAGCACCTGCTGTGTGCAGGGCATTGTCTCTTCCTGTGTGTTACTATTTTACCTCTACAACTAGAGTATAAGGGTGTTGAGGGCAGTTTGAAGACGTGGGAAAAAATCTACTGTTTTTTACTAACCAGCAGTGGGGCTTCAGTTAAATCAGTAAATCTCTTTGAACCCATTTTGTTCTGGAGATAATCATCCCTGCCTTGCCTTTCTCACAGCATTGAGGACCAAATGAGAAGGTTTTCAGAAATTTTTCTCATGTACGAGAACATATTCTAAGAAATTTATTCTTCTCTGTGTTAACCTTGGTGCCTGGCACATAGTGGACAGGCAGTTTTGGTCGATGGTGCATCTACTTGAGAATATCTAAAATGAGTCGGCATTTGGCTTTATGTGAATAAATTTCTTATATCCTTTGGTAGGCTTTTAAAAAAATATTTAAGGGGCGCCTGGGTGGCTCAGTCGGTTAAGCGTCCGACTTCGGCTCAGGTCATGACCTCACAGTTTGTGGGTTTGAGCCCTGACTTGGGCTCTGTGCTGACAGCTCAGAGCCTGGAGCCTGTTTCAGATTCTGTGTCTCCCTCTCTCTGCCCCTCCCCTGCTTGCACTCTCTCTGTCTCTCTCAAAAACAAATAAATATTAAAACAAATTAAAACAAATTTAATGTTGATATATCTAAAGATGTGTGTGTTTTAATTAAATCATCAACCTTAAACTAGCTTTTATATCAAATATTTTACTTTTGTAGGCTTTTGTGTTTTAAGAGAACTTGGTTGTTCCCCTGAACATTCTGAGAGATGAGTTAACATGACTAACTCTCCTGAACAGGTTGGGTAATTGTGTTGTAAAGTGTCTTGGAGAGAGAAATAGATTTGGCCGCTACCTTACTGATGAAAGTACCCTATAGCTTCCAGAACCTCAAGCCAAGAAATTAATGAATCCCAATTTAAATTCACCCTTCAATACTGAGCAGTGAAAGTATTTTAGATAAGGGAGATCAGCTGCTTTTATTTGTTACTAAGTGGCTGTCTTGAGATGTTTAATTTCATTTTTTACAGCAAGAACTCTCTGTATGTCTGATTAAAACTAGGCTTGGAAACTTGAAAATGCTCTTTCTGATCCTCAGGGACACTGGCTTAACCAGCATTTAGAAGGTAGTGGTTGTTTTCAGTGAACACACTATGGGAACGGGTTGAAATCTCATTTCCGTGCATGATAGCACTTCACAGACGGTGACCACCCTTTCACATCCATTAGACCCTCATGAGTTTGGCAGATGAGTGTGGAGAAACCAAGACCCACAGGGTTTGGTGAATTTCCTGAGAATGCAGAGCTGGTAAGTGGCAGAGCTAAACCTAGCAACCTGGGCTGGCTTCATTTCATTGAAACAAACTCTGAAGGCAGCACACGGATGTCAGTGCCATGGTTTTATCTTTCAAGCCCTCTGCGCATAAGCACAAGTATCAAGAAATAGTCTTCAGCTCTATGCCATCTTCATTCAAGTCCAGTCCCTCAGTCTGTAAAGTCAGGTTTCCAACTACAAGGTGCTGTGGCAAGGCAGCCCCCCCTGGCCCTGGCCATGCCTGTTGTGTGCCAGGTTTCGATTCCATTCACACGGCTCCTGGGTAAATTTATTCCAAATGCCAAGGCGCAGAGTAGGACTGATTTGTTTGGTCGTTCATTTATTTGCTCAAATATTTTGAGTACCTTCCTGGTGAAGATTCGAAGATAAGTCAGACATGGATCCAGCCCTCAAAGAACTGAGGGTGTCTTAGAGGAGATGGGATGTGTGTAATTGGCATCACATGATGAAAAGTCACCAGGGCTGGAAGACAGATGGAGGTGTGATTTTCACAGTAGTCCAGAAGCAGGAGAACCGGATTCCTCGTGGGAAATCAGGGAGGCATTATGAAGGTGGCATCTGAGGGCAAGAAGAGACATAGGGAGAAATTGATTGGAGTCAGATTATGGAAAACCTTAAATGCTAAGAGGTAAGGTTTTGTCTGTAGGCATAGGGGAATTTTTGATAGTTACTGAGCTTGGAAGTGGACAGGATCTGTGCTTGTGGGACATTAATTTGGCCCCAGCACCCGATGGTGTGGAGATGGGAGACAAGGGCAGGGAGACAGTCAGGAGGATGTTGCGATAATTCTGTAGCCACATTGCTTATATCTGACGTTAGCAGACACTGCCAGATCATAAGGTCCTCCTGTAAAGTCTTCTCCCCCCAGACCTCCCAACTCCAGTTCCAGCACCTGCCATTGCTTCTTGGAAAGTTCATCTACATTCGTCACCTCCACTGTTTTACTTCCTACTCTTTTCTCCGCTCACTGTGGTCTGGCTTCTGCCCCCTCCACACCACTGACACTGCTGCCATGAGGTCAGTCATAGATTTGCTAGAGTCAATCCAGTGAGCGATTTTCTTTTTTTTTTTTTTTTTAATTTTTTTTTTTCAACGTTTATTTATTTTTGGGACAGAGAGAGACAGAGCATGAGCGGGGGAGGGGCAGAGAGAGAGGGAGACACAGCATCGGAAACAGGCTCCAGGCTCTGAGCCATCAGCCCAGAGCCCGACGCGGGGCTCGAACTCACGGACCGCGAGATCGTGACCTGGCTGAAGTCGGACGCTTAACCGACTGCGCCACCCAGGCGCCCCCAGTGAGCGATTTTCAAGTGTTACCTTACTTGGCCTCTCTCAGTAGTTGACTCTGCCCTTTCTTTCCTTCTTGAAATTCTTTCTTCCTCTGGTTTCTGACACTGTGGGTACCCATTGCTCTTAACCTCTGCCCATTCCTTTCCAGTCTCATCACGGGGTCATTTAATGCCAGTGTGGCCAGTTCTCCATCATTGGCTTGCTTTTTCAACATCTTATCATTGCTGCTAACTAATTAATTAACTAACTCATCAGTTTGTTCTCTGTATTTATAGGTCTGATTCTGCTTTTTGTTTGCTTATTCATTTATTTGTTTTTTTAGGTTCCATGGATGAGTAAAATAATATGGTGTTTGTGTTTCTCAGTCTGACTTATTTCACTTAGCATTATACTCTCTAGGTCCATGCATGTAGTGGCAAATGACATGATCTTATTCTTTTCTGTGGCTGAGGCATATCCCAGTGTGTGTGTGTGTGTGTGTGTGTGTGTGTGTGTGTGCGTGCGCGCGTGCACACGCAAGTGTGCATATGCACCACGTTTATGTCACATCTTCTTTATCCATTCATCTATTGATGGACACAGGTTGTTTCCATATCTTGGCTATTGTAAATAATGCTGCAATAGACATAGGGGTGCATGCATCTTTTCAAATTAATGGTTTTCTTAAGCTTATTTATTTTGAGAGAGAGAGAAAATACGAGCAAGGGAGGAACAGGGAGAGAGAGAGTGAGAGAGAGAGAGAGAGAGAGAGAGAGCGCGAATCCAAGCAGTCTCCGTGCTGTCATCATAGAACCTGATGCAGGGCTCAAACTCACCAACCGGGAGATCATGACCTGAGCCGAAATCAAGAGTCAAATGCTTAACTGACTGAGCCACCCAGGTGCCCTCAAATTAGTGTTTTTGTTTCCTTTGGGTAAATACCCAGTAGTGGAATTTGAGAGACCTCCATACTGTTTTCCACAGTGGCTGTACCAATTTATATTCCCACCAACAGTGCACACGAGTTCCTTTTTCTCCACATCCTTTTCAGCGCTTGTTATTTCTTTTTGATTCTAGCCATTCTGACAAGTATAAATAAAGGTGATATCTCGTTGTGATTTTGATCTGCATTTCCCTGATGATTAGTGACGTTAAGCATCTTTCATGTGTCTGTTGGCCATCTGTATGTCTTCTGTAGAAAAATGTCTATTCAGGTCCTCTGCCTGTTTTTTAAATCATACTGTTTTTATGGTGTTGAATTGTGTAAGTTCTTCATATATTTTGGATATTAACCCCTTCTCGGATTTATCAGTTGCAAATATCTTCTTCCATTCAGTAGGTTGCCTTTTTGTTTTGTTGATGGTTTCCTTTGCTGTGCAAAAGCTTGTTATTTTTATGTAGTGCCAATAATGTATTTTTGCTTTTTTCCCTCTTGCCTCAGGAGACATACCTAGAAAAATGTTGCTGTGGCCAATGTCAGAGCAATTACTGCTTGTGCTTGCTTCTAGAATTTTTATGGTTTCAGGTTTTACATTTAGGTCTTCAATCCATTTTGAGTTTACATTTGTGTATGGTATAAGAAAGTGGTCTGGTTTCATTCTTGTGCATGTAGCTGTCCAGTTTCCCCAGCATTGTTTATTGCAGAGACTGTCCTTTCCCCATTCGTATATTCTTGCTTCCTTTTTCCTAGATTAATTGACCATGTAAGTGTAGGTTTATTTCTGGGCTCTCTATTCTGTCCCACTGATCTGTGTGTCCATTCATTCAATCATTTAACAGATATTTATTGAGCACTGACTATATGCCAGACACTGTTCATCAGCATGAACAAAAGGTAGTCCTTGTCCTCATGGAGCTGATGTTCCAATGCAGGGAGACAGACAACAAACATATAAATAAGTGTATAATATGAAGAGAACAAAAGCAGGGGAAAAGTTGACAGAGAGTGAAGGGGATGCTATTTTGTTTGGTGTTGACAAGGAAGGCCTTTCTAACAAGTTGCTTTTGAGCAGAAGCCATGAGGGAGGAAGAGAGCAAATTGTGCAGGTAAATCAGGGAGAAGAACATTCTGGGCAGAGGGAAGAGCAAGGTGCAAAGTGCAGGTCACACTTGTCGGGTGAACAGCAGGGTGCTGTGGAGGCTGGAGTGGGGTGGGTGAGGCAGAAGGTGCTGGAGGATGAGGTCAGAGAATTTGGGTGA